AACATTAGATAAATACCACCTGGTAAGCATACTTATCACAGCCTTCCAACCTTCCTCCATTAATAATAATGAAAAAAAAAACACAGAAGAGGAATAGAGATCGATCTATAGCTGTGTCCTTCACTTTGGTGAATGAAGATGTCTCCTTCTTTGGCGATCAGAAGGATTTCTGAGCTGGTGGGATATTGCAGCCATGTGTTTTATTCTCCTGAAGAGAAACTGTCTGAGCATGAAACCAGTGCATAGGGAAACACAGCCAAGAGATGGGGAAAAACTGATTTCTTTAGGCATAATCTGAACCTCTGGATCCAGCCATGCCTGAAGCTAGGACGCTCCTGACTACAGGAACCATTAAATTCTCTTTTTTTGCTTATGCTGGTTTGGGTTGGGTTTCTGTCACTAGCAATCACAAAAAGTTCTCCACTCTGAGGCCTGAATATACTAGCACATGAAAGTATCTGTTCCATATTTGGTGCTCAAACCAGGGGGTTGTAAGTAGCCCAAGGTCACACAGCAAGAAAGGGGTAAAACCAGGAATCTCATTCTGATTCCTAGGCCCAAGTGAATAAGATCTACATGCAAGTGCCTCGACAATTCCTCATGTTTTGGTGGCACTTTACAGTTTACTCCAGTGCATATGATGTGGCCGTCACACCAACTGTAGAAACAACAGCCGTCACCCTGGCATCAGGCAGAGTTCCTGGGTGCCAAGCAGCAGAAGCCAACCCTGGCTAATGTAAGCAAAAAAGGAGAAAGGAGGGTTATAGAAGCAGAAGTTGACCAGCTGGGACTTGGAAAGGACAGTAACAGGTCAGCTCCAGGGACACAGGAGGCAGGAGCCAGGGTTGTGGGGAATAGGAGCCAAAGGGCCAGGTCTTCCGGGCACCAACTGTCCCCATCTTAGCATTAATTTCCCCTGAGTGGCTCTTCTCCCAAGAAAGAAGAAGAGTTCTTCTGATTGGCTGAGTTTGGGTCATGTGACCACCCAACTGACCTTGATGGACAGCCAAATAAGGTGGGAAGAGTAGATCCCCCAAGGAGGACCAAACGCTGGGGTGGGAAGGTGAGATGTTGGGCAGGAAGGCCACCAAGCCCTGGGATGGTGGGGTCTGGGCTCTGACCAGAGACCCTTTGCTTTCGTTCCCCTGCGGGGCTCCAGGCTGTCAGGGGAACAAGGGGGTATTGTGCTCCTGGCAGGGATGAATGGCTGGCTCCTGGGGATGTGCCTGACCCAGACGAGGCATCCTGGGCACAGGAAACCACCTCAGACTGAGCTGTATTCAGAGGGCTAGGCCTCCTCCGCTTTCTCCTCCTGCAGTGAACAGACCCCCCTTCAGATCCAGCCTTGCCCCTCAGCTCCAGCCCTATGTTTTTTAAGAGAAGCCGAGGATATTGGGGGGGGGGGGGGCGGGGAGGCTTATTTTTTCAAGATGCAAAATACTTCATGGATCAAACAAAATCTGTGCACATTGGAGGCAGCCTAAGGATGGCCCACATGTAAGCTCTGGAATGCTCCTTTGTGCTCACAAAGATTAAGGCCCCACTATTAGGGCTTACACTGTTAGGGATGCACTAGGTTGCAAATTTCCTTACTTTGAATTTGGATATGCAAAGAAACCTAGCCTTTTATACCCTCCTTAGAGGTCATCTAGTGCAGTGATTAGGAGTGAGGGCTATTATGGAGCCAGAGGACCCGGGTTCAAATCCCGGCTCTGCCACTCACTGTGTGACCTCAGGCGATTCACTTAACCTCTCTGGGCCTCAGTTTCCTTTGGAGGACACATGTAACCAGAGCCTGGCATAGAGTAAGTACCACAAAATGTTCTGCTTGGTTCCCTAGCCTGATCTTGTCATGAGCCTTCATGTGGTAAGAAATACAAAATCTTAAGCCAGGACAATAATTTAAACTGTTTGTCCAGGTAAGACCAGTTTCACTTGGCTATTTCAAGGACGAGTGTGGTTGTTTAGTTTTCTTTCCTCCCCTGCTTCTCTCCACAAGGCATCTGCCTGCACCCTGCCTTAGTCACTGGGAAGCAGAGCTCCAGGAAGAAAAGCCGAGGTTCCTGAGTGCTTACATTTAGTGAGGATCCCCTCTGCACTAAGCAGGCCAGGTGCATGAGGTCCTCAAATCCTCATAACACCACCTCCCCCCCCCACCCCCGCCCCCAGCAGGAGGACTCAAGACTCCTTTAAATAGTGTTGGGAGCTTGCAAGTAATGGAGGTGGCAGGAGACTCCAGAATGTTGGACTCCAAAGCCTGGTTTTCTTCTGCTCCCATCAACTGTGTTCCCGTTCCAAGTGATGGGACAAGATTCAGAAGCTCCTATGCCCCTGGTGGCCCATGTCACTTGATCCCTAAAGGAAAAACTCTCTACCTTACTGACAAAGTGTTCGGTATGAGAACCATTTGTCTATGTATAATAGTCGACAATGCTTTTGGTTGTAGGGGATAGAAACTCAACTCACACTGGCTTAAGCAAAATAATAGTAATAATAATAATAATAATGATAATAATAATAATTTCTTGGCCCAAGCAGGGAAAGTCCAGGGGTGGAATCCTGGCTTCAGGGATCTGGGGAAAAACAGCTTCAGGTACAGCAGGATCCAAGAGCTCCAAGGACATTGTCAGAATTCATTCCTCTCCATCTCTCAGCTCAGCTTTTCTCTGTGCTGGCTTCCCCCTCAGGCGGCCCCTCCCTGTCTTGTGTCAAGGTGGCTGCAGGCAGGATGTCGGGCTGCTAGGGAATCCTAGCTGGCAGCCCGGCATCCTGCCAGCTCACAAACCCCAGTAGAAGGAGAGCCTTTCTGTCAGCAGTCTTAGCGAAAGTTCGGGGGTAACTCAGCCCAGCCTTATTAGATGCAAATCCCTGTAGCCAGATGGGATGCTCAGGTTGGCCAGGCCTGGCTCTCCGGCCCACTTCCTGAGCTGGAGGCGGGGACTGGGGGAGTTTCACCGTCTTGATGCCCTGATTAGTGGCCTCCCTGGGCAAGCCCTTTGCAATGTGACTTAACTCCACACGCTCTGAATCTGGGCTGACCATGAGACTAGCTCTGGCCAGTGGAACAGAAAGAAGGTGCTTCTAGAATGTTGAAGGTTGCCAAGGTTTAAACATTGGTTGGGCCATTTACTAGCTGTATTCATTTCCTATGGTTGCTGTAAGAAATTATCACAAACTTGGTGGCTCATGACAACAGAAGCTGACTCTGGCTCAGTTCTGGAGGGCAGATGGTCAACATCAACTTCACTGGGTGGAAACCAACGTGCTCCCTCCAGAGGCTCTAGAGGAGATCATCACTCACCCCTTCTGGCCTCTGACGGCTGCTGACATCCCCTTGCCTGTTGACACGTTACCACAGTCTCTGCCTCTGCCTCCCCATCACCTTCTCCTCTGCTGTGTGTCTGTCTACTCTCCCCCCGGTGATGACACGTGGGGTGGCACTGAGAGCCCAGCTGGATAATCCAGGTTCATCCCATCCCCGAATCCTTAATTTAGTCACATCTGCAAAGACTTTACCATATCCAGTAATGTTCACGGGTGCCAATCTGTGACAATCTCCTCTCCACCCCGCTCCCTCAGTGATTCTCATGCTGACGGTCTATGTACTACACTTGGGAAGGGATTATGACCTGATATCATGGAGGTCCACCATTTAGCCCACTACACTAGCTGTGTGACCACGGGCAAGTGTCTTAACCTCACTGTGCCTCAGTTTCCTTACTGTCAAATGACAGCCACTACCTCAGTGGGCTCTGATGAGGGTTAAATCAAGTCATCACATAAAGCACTTGAAAGGGTGACCAGCACACGATAAGAGCTTTATATGTGTTAGCTACTAATCCACTTGAGAATCTTTGGCCATGGCTAAAATTCCCACAAGGACAGTTCCCTTCTCTGTCCTGTTCACCACTGTCTTCCCAGCACCTGCCACAGAGATTTGCACATGGTAGATACTCAGAAAATATTTAATGCATGCATGCCGCTGGCTGGCTGGCTGTGAGGCTTTAGGGAAGTTGGTTTCCCTCTGTGGGTCTCAGATTGCTCCTTCCACCATGAAGCGCTGCTGGTGGGGAAAGTACGTTTCTCTGTCTGGAAGGGCGCGTCCCTGTTAGGGGCGGAGGCCTCCAGGATCAGAGGCTGGCCACAGTTGCTTCTTCTCTGAGTCACCAGATTTCTCAACGTAAGGCTATGTGTCTAAATATTATGAGCAAGTAGGTTGAAGATAAGGTGGGGAAACACTGATTCGGCCAAAGCGGCTTCAGCCAAGGCTCTGGGGCTGGACTTCCCAGTAACATGATTTCCTGCTTAGCACCTGCCAGAAAAACAGGCTGCCCACCCACAACCAAGTGGGGCAGCCCAGATGCCCACTTTGGTGGTTAGAACATGCTCTGGCCGACTGTTCCCACAGCCAATAGCTAGTCAAATCCTCGTGACTTAAGTGGAGAAGCAAAGGTCCCCCAAAAGTGAAGCCATGTCCAAAGTTATACTGTGTAACTGCTACTGGGTGAGGCTAAGCCCCAGAAGTCCTCACTCCCAGCCCAGCACCTGCAGGAAGCACCCGGGCAAAGGGAGAGAGAAGGTGGCAGGCAGGGCTGCAACATGTGCAGATGCCCAGGGGCGAGAGGCATGACACAAATGCAAAAACTCAGCTGAATGAGAAAAAGAGGGCCCAGGCTTTTAGACTCAATTCTGAGGCAACACGGAATCATTGATGGTTTTAGGAAAAGGAATAATAGAATCTGAGAGTCTCTTCCCAAGTGTAGTGCATAGACCGTCAGCATGAGAATCACCGAGGGAGCGGGGTGGAGAGGAGATTGTCACAGTGCAGATCCCTGGGTCCACACTAGGGGTTTCTCTATTTCAACAGACCAGCCCCCTCCCTGCAGTGACTCTGGAGCTCCCCCTCGGTGCTTTAGTGAGTACAGAGATGCTGGGTACCATTCCAGTGAAAAGAGCAAGACTCAGCCAAACTTGGTTTCAAATCCCAGCTCTGTCATTTACTTATTGTGTGACCCTGGCCCGGTTACTACGCTGAGCCTCAGTCTGCCCTCCTTTAAAATGGAGACAATCATCGTATTGGCCTCCCAGTTGTTCTAAGAATTAAGGAACATAATACACATAAAGCGCTCAGTGATTAGATCGAGAACATTTTTAGCGCTCAGAACACGCTGGTTTTTAGGGACTCACAGTGGTGGGGGTGTGGAGGAGGTGACAGAGTGGGGGCAGGCGTGGAGGCCCACAGCGCAGTGAGGAGGCAGCTGTGGGAGTCCGGAGGAGAGGCCTGTGGCTGGGATGTGGAAATGGGCGCAGACAGGTGCCCTCTGCACTGCGAAAGGTGCCCCCAGGCATGGTGCTAGGAGATGGTCTGAGGCTGGAGAGAGAAGGATGAGGTCAACAGAGAGGATAATAACATTAACTACGTTCACAGCCATGCATTGGACATTTAGCATGCGCCGGACCCTGTCTCAGCAGCTTGGTGAACTTGATCCTCATAGCGACCCGACGATGTGGGGATCACCTTATCCAAGGGTTTATCAACCTCAACACTATCGACATTTGTACTGGATAATTCTTTGTTGCAAGCGGCTGTGCTGTGCCCTGCAGGGTAGTTAGCAACATCCCTGACCTCAGCCCACTAGAGGCCAATAGCTACCCCCACCCCCCAACCCCCACCACCCTGCCAAGTTGTGACAACCAAAACTGTCTCCAGACTTTGCCCAATGTTTCCCAGCAGGCAACATCACCCCCAGTTAAGAAGCACTGGCTTTATCCTCATTTTATTTTATATTTTAAAAAGCTTTTATTTATTTACTTGAGGGAGAGTGAGTTTGAGAGAGAGCATAGAGGGAGAGGAAGAAGAAGACTCCCCACTGAGCAAGGAGCCCAACGTGGGGCTTAATCCGAGGACCCTGAGATCATGACCTGAGCCGAAAGCAGACACTTAACCGACTGAGCCACCCAGTCGCCCCCTTTATCTTCATTTTACAAGGAAGAAATGAGAGGCTCAAAAAAACCAAAGTACCTTACTCACCATCACCCTGCTAGGAAGCGGCAGATTTCAAACTCAGGTCTGGCTCAGAGCCCTGAATGTTAACTTCAGCTGTGAACGAGGTCAGATCTTTCAATGGCAGGCCCAGATTGTCTGTATGAGGAGCTGGGGGCCAGCGGTTGAACTGCCTTGACCTAGATTGCATGTTCATTAGTGTGACTTTGGGAGGGGTGATGGACATTGTTGGGGAGCCAGACTCAAGTGCCCCCCCCACCAGCTTCCTCTAGGGGCCTCCAGTTGCCTTGGATGGTGGGGCTGAGGGAGATGCGCGTGGAGGGCAGGCAGGCAGGAGCAAGATGAGGCTGTGGGGTCAGCCGTGCTGGAACCCCGCTGCCAGGAACCTCCCCAAAACACTCTCCAAGATCTTCAGGCTAAATATTTATGCTGTGAACTCTGTTTTCCTTCCTGCGTGGACAGATGGAGGCTCACAGATGGGTCCAGGCATGTGGGGAGACAGAATGCAGAGAAACGGGAAAGGTCGAGGCTGGGGGCCAGAGGTCAGAGGTCAGGAGAGAGTCGTTGGAGGCTGGGAATAAACATCTGTCCCCTCAGCTTGACATCTAGAGCCTTCCAGGGCCGGGCCCAGTGCCAACACAGTCACCTCCCTCAGGGAGGAGTGGAATTTGAATGTGTTTTTGTTTTCTTAAGAGATGTGGACTAAAATGATATGTTTCTTTTGCCCAGTCTTAATCTTTTTAAGCATGGGAGCCAGAGGTGAGGGGACAATTAAGTCAAAAAGTCTTGCCCAGAGAAGAAACCACTCTTCTGGACCCAAAAATACTTTGTTTACACAGATGGCCGCTAGAAAAGGCCTGACTCTGAGCCCTTAAAGAAGATGGATTTACGAGGAGGGGCCTCCAGGCGAGCCGAGCATCAGAGCGAGGCCCTGGCAGCCCTGTGGCTTTGCTCCCATCCGAAAGGACAGGCCCCGACAGGTTCTTCTCCCCGCGATGGACGACAAGGCCGTCATGCTGTCACTTTTACTGCCGACAGTGGCTCAAGTGTCAAAGGGTCACCTCTGACCTCTAGGCTGGGATGACCCCCAGGGCCTGCAGATCTCGGGGGGAGGATTGCACGCAGTGTGACCTGTTTCGGTAGGAAATGCCCCCATGAGGATCCACAGGCCTCTTAGCTATCCCCGGAATGGCGAACGACACCACCAGTGTGCGTGCGTGTGCGTGTGTGTGTGCGTGTGTGCGTGCACGCACATAAGCACGCCTGCCCCGTGGTGGCCTTCTCTTTCCTTCTTTGTTCTTCCACCACCGTGAAAGCGTCTGGAGGTGTCTGAGGGATGTGAAAACAGAGAAGAGCAGCACTTCCATCCACCCTTCCCTCTTGGAGGGTAATAATGTCTCTCTGGATGTTTCTAGACTGAGGCCAGTTCTTCATCTTCAACGTGCATCCAAAACACCTGGGTGTCTTGTGAAAAAGCAAATTCCGACTCTGTAGATCTGGGGTGGGGCCCGAGGTTCCGCTTTTCCAAGACACTTCGGGGTCTAGGGATCACACTGGGGGCAGCCAGGCCTTAGCACGAAGCCATTGCGGGAGGCGGCCCTCGTTGCTGTTGGCCCAGCCCGCCTTGCACGCCTTGCACGCCCCCGCCTTAGACCTTTGCACCTGCTGTCTCTGCCACCCGGCATGCCCTTCCCTCTGCTAAGCCTCTCCGTGAGCTCCTTGACTTCTCAGGCAGGGTATCTTCTCCGGCCAGTGATTGCTCCACGTTCAGCCTGAGGGAATGTCTGAGCCAGAAGGGCCTTGGGGATAATCTTGTTCATCTCCCTTCAGAGTTCCCAGGGCTTTTGTGGCAAGAGCTAAAATCCCTGCTCAGTCTGGCTGAAGCAATTTTTTTTTTTTTTTTTTTTTTAAGATTTCATTTATTTGCGAGAGAGACAATGAGAGACAGAGAGCATGAGAGGGAGGAGGGTCAGAGGGAGAAGCAGACTCCCCGCCAAGCAGGGAGCCCGATGCGGGACTCGATCCCGGGACTCCAGGATCATGACCTGAGCCGAAGGCAGTCGCTTAACCAACTGAGCCACCCAGGTGCCCCTGGCTGAAGCAATATTAATCATAATAAATTAATAGCTTGTGTAAATGAACACCCCCAAATATTTATTGAAGCAACGTTTGTGATAATCAAAAATTGCAAGCAATCCACATGCCAATATGGAGGAACATGGCCAGGAAAACTGTTGCTGCCTCCCACCCTGGAATGTTCTGTTGGTGTGAAAAAGTTTGGGGAGGTTTGCCTGTGCTAGCCTGAAGAATCTCCAGCATTTATGACCAAGAGAGAAAAGCAAGCTCAGAATGATATACACAATATGATACCATTCCTTTAAAACACCCCCAAAAGATCTTTGTATTTTCTTTTTTTTATTAAGATTTTATTTACTTATTTGACAGAGAGAGACACAGCGAGAGAGGTAACACAAGCAGGGGGAGTGGGAGAGGGAGAAGCAGGCTTCCCGCCGAGCAGGGAACCTGATGAGGGACTCGATCCCAGGACCCTGGAATCATGACCTGAGCTGAAGGCAGACACTTAACGACTGAGCCACCCAGGTGCCTCAGATCTTTGTACTTCCAACAAGCATATCTTTGCGTGGCTGCGTAGACTAAGGCAGGGTCCCTCAACCTCAGCACTGTTGATGTTTGGAGCAGGATCAGTCTCTGCTATGGGCATTGTTCTGTGCTTTGTAGAATGCTGGGGCACCTGGGTGGCTCAGTCGGTGAAGTGTCTACTGATTTCGGCTCAGGTCATGATCTCAGGGTTGTGAGGTTGAGCCCCACGTCGGGCTCCGCGCTCAGTGGGGAGTCTGCATGAGATTCTCTCTCCCTCTCCCTCTCCCTCTGCCCCTCCCCATGCTCTCTCTCTCTCAAATAAATAAATAAATCTTAAAAAAAAAAAAAAAAAGAAAGAATGTTTGGCAGCATCATCCCTGGCCTCCATCCATGAGATGATGGTGGCACTTCTCTCCTGGTTGCAACAACAAAAATGTCACCAGACGTTGCCAACTGTGCCCTGGGAACAAAATCACCCTGTTTTAGAACCAGTGGAATAAGATCTGGAAGGGACCATCGCAAAGAGAGAAGAACAGTTACCCCTGGGACCGAGGTAGGGACCGGGATGGGGCCGGAGCATGTTCATTCATTCACCTATTCCGTACATACTTGTTAAGCACCTACTATGTGCCAGACAGTGTGCGAGGCATGAGGGATTGCTGCAGGGAAGAAAACAAAAACCCTTGCCTTTGTGGGTATGACATTCTTGTAGGAGAGGCAGACAAGAAACAAATGAGTAAGACGTTAATACGAAAGATGGTGCTAATTGCTTGGGAGACAAACAGCGAAGGGGCAGGAGAGGGCTCAGGCCAAGGTGGGGACGTCACAGTCTCAGGGATAATGTATGAATTTCTTAGAAGAGGGATTCCCATGTCTTGACTGGTTTTAAAGCCTGGGTGGGCCTGGTTCCCTGCAACAGCCTTCAGGGGGTTGGACTCTGGTGCCTGGGCCCCAGCCCTTCCTTCCGTCCCCAGATCCTCCCAGCTTCAGACAAACTCGATAGATACCCTCAGCTGTATACATATGACAGCTGGTAGGCCAGCCGTATGCATGGAGCCCTCATGGTGGCATAAAAATAATACTAATGGCTCTTGGAGCCTTGGCTGTCTGGTCCCTGTTACCCCTCTGATTTCACCTCCCACTTTCCCCACTGACTCACTAGGATCCAGCCATGCTAACTTTCCTTCCGCTCCTTGAATATTCAAGCTCGGCCCTGCCTCCGGGCCTTTGCGTTTGCTGTTCCTATTGCCTAGAACACCTTCCCCGTGATCTCCCCATGACCGGCTGGTTCTTGTTAACCAGGTCTTGACTCCGATATGACCTTTGCAGAGAAGCCTTCTCCGACCACCCCAGCCAGAGGAGGTCCCTTCTCCAAATCTCTGCACACACCCCTCTTCCCAGGCATGTTGCCTTCACTGGACTTGTTCCCTGATGACATGATTCTGTTTGATTATTCGCTGGATTGCTATTGTTGGTGTTTCCCACTAGAATGTCTGCCCCATAAGAAAACAATCTTATCTCTTGATAAGGTACCCGAACAAGTACCTGGCACATAGTAGGTGTTTAATAAATGCTCACTGAACGTATGAGTGACTGAATGAATGAACGAACGAATAAGAGTCATCACAAGTATGACGACTGCCTGTCAGATGCTAAGTAAACCTTTCTCCATTAACTCTGTGTTCTTTCTGTTGCTGTTTTGTTGTTTTGCTCTGTGTACTCTCTGTACTATATTGTTTAGCATTTTTCTTTAGATCAATTTCTTTATTTAAGGAAACTTAGATAAAGGAATCTTTTTTTGTGTTTTTCTTTTTAAAAAAGATTTATTTATTAATTTGAGAGAGAGCAGGTGAGCAGGGGGAGGGGAAGAGAGGGAGAATCTCAAGCAGACCCTCCGCTGAGCATGGAGCCTGACGTGGGGCTTGATCTCACGACCCTGAGATCATGACCTGAGCCGAAATCAAGAGTCAGACGCTTAACTGACTGCGCCGTCCAAGCACCCCGTATAGAGGAATCTTTTTTTTTTTTTTTTTTAAGATTTGATTTATTTGACAGAGAGAGCACAAGCAGAGGGAGAGAGAAGGAGAAGCAGGCTCCCCGCTGAGCAAGGAGTCCGATGCGGGACTCGATCCCAGGACCCTGAGATCATGACCTGAGCCAAAATCAAGAGTCAGACGCTTAACTGACTGCGCGGCCCAAGCACCCCTGTATAGAGGAATCTTGGCAATAACACCATGTAGGGAGAATCACCATATACTTTCTATAAATAGCAGGAAAACGACACAAGGAAGTTCCATGGAGACACAATCACATTACCTGATGTGGGACACTGATGCTCCTGCAGGTGTTAAGCCTGGGGCTCTTCTGTTTTGTTAGAAAGGAGATTGGCCAACATCAGAGAGGCGCTGGAGACACGGTGGCTGCAATCTGCGACGTCCTCCCGGCCACAGTCAGTAGGATTAAAGGAGAACTGAAATCAGATTAACGCTCTCACCATCACATAGAGCCAAGTCCAGAGTGGGCCTGAAGTCAGCCCAGGGACCACTGTGGTGCCACCTGAACGTCAGGACATGCCATGTTATCGTGCGTAAGCTAGCAGGTGGTAAAGCCAGGGTTCGAACCACTCAAGTCACACCCCAAGTTCTTTCCCTATTCTACAGAATACATGGCCTCTGCTCTAAAGTGGGCTATTTGATTTCTGACCCCTGAGTCAGGCAGGTCCCCGCTCCCCTGGGGTAGGACTAAAAAGGGCTGCCAAGAATAACTGCGAGGTGGTAAGAACATAGGATCTGGAGGTGCCCAGCCTTGCTGTGAACCTGGTTCTTTCCCTACCAGCTGCGGGGCCAAGAGCTAGACCACTTCCGCTCCACAAGCCTCAGCTTTCCCACCTTACATGCAAGCATGATGACTTCCCCCCCCGACTCACTAGGATCCAGCCATGCTAACTTTCCTTCCACTCCTTGAATATTCAAGCTCAGCCCTGCCTCTGGGCCTTGGCACTTGCAGTTCCTATTGCCTAGATTGCCTTCCCCTCCATAAGCCTCGGTTTTCCCACCCTACATGGAAGCATTATCAGTACATGCCTTCTAGGCTTCTTGGGAGCAGGATGGTCAGTTCTAGACTCATGCCCAGTTTGTCAGCGAAACAGGGGCACAGATGGGGTTGCCACAATCGTGTTTTGTAGATGTGATTAACATCTACAGTCATGGACTATATGTAGGGGAGATTATCCCGGATCATCCGGGTGGGCCTGATCTAATCAGTTGAAAGGCCTTAAGAACAGAATGAGGTTTCCTTAAGAAAGAAGAAATCCCACCTGTGGACAGGAGTCTCTGTATCTGCTCCTGCCTGAATCTCTAGGCTGCCCTTCCTAATGGCCTGCACAAATTTGGACTTGCCTAACCAGACTCCCACCACATACGTCAAGTCCTTACAATAGATCTCCCTCTCTCTCTGTCTCTCTCTCTACCCCACCCCCCCACCGCCTCTCTCCTGGATCTTCTTTGGCGGAACTTTGACTGATTCAGGAAGGATAAATAAGAGAACACTTAGAAGGTCTAGCACATAGTAAATGCTCACGAAATACTAGCGCGATTATGGTTGCTCACTCTGGCCCTCTTCCCTCATCTAAAGAGCAGATCTCCTTGAGGCCATTCTGAGACCATGGATGTGGCTGAGAAGACACTGACCTGGGAGTCAGAGGACATGCACTCGGGCTTGGTGCCTCCCCTATCCCTTCCTATGACCTCCTCTGAGCCTCAACATCCTCCACCTGAAGAATGACAACAAGCTTACCTCCCACAGGCTTGCTGTGGTTCGATGCCACCCTGACCATATACCACCCGGGATGCCAGAGATACTTGAGTAAGCCTCGTGGGCCTCCACACGTATTCATGTGCTCCGCGTGTCACAGAAACAAACGCGTTGTGCTAGGCATTGTGGGGGATTATAACCCACATGGAAGCCAGGGCATCACATGGCCCATCTCTGAACATAGACACACGCAGATGTCTCTGAGCGAAGACACACCCTCTCCCTAGAGATACTTACACTGGAGGAGGCCAGCAGGGAGGGAGGTGGAGCCAGCTGGGTGACTCGGAGGTTTGGATCATGGCCGAGTAATTTTCCTTCAAGATCAATGTTCTCAGGATTAAGTTCTAACCCCCCACCCAGGCAGCCAACCATCCACCTGTGCATTCATCAGACATTCATCGAGGGCCTACTGCGTACCCGCAAGGTGCAGATGAGGGACAGAAGAGGGACTAGACAGGCCTCTCTTGGCCCCAACTGTCCCTCATTCCTCCTTCCACCTTCTCCTTCCGGGGAAAATCCTTCTCCTGGGACATCCACAGACTAGGACATTCAGAGCCTAGGAGGAGCTCAAGGGGAGTCTCTGCAGAGATCCAGGCCCCTCCCACCATGTGGAAGAATTGAAAACCTGCAGTTTCCCTCCAGGGACTGAGGCCAGGCCGCCTGTGGCTGGGGCTGGACCCCTGGAGCATTCACAAACGGCTGGTGGTGAACACATTTCCCCTGAGAGCTTTCTAGTAGGAGTGGGGAGACTTGGGGGGCGTAGATGGGAGTCAGGCAGGAGCATTTGTGTCACTAGATTGGTGTGGGGGGGAGATAGAGGCTGACAGACACACAGATGGAGGTGGAGAGACAGAGATGGTCAGAGAGAGAAAGACTCAAAAGGACAGACAGACATAGAAACAGAGGTGGAGGGGGACAGAGGAGGGGAGAGGAAGGAGAGGTGAGCTTCCATGGATTGTGAGGTGGGTGCACTGGATCCTGACCCTCCTGGTCTCAGGCCTCCTAGGACCCCCACGGCCCTCAGGACAACCACGACCTCCCCTTACCCCAGCTTGTGCCTTGGCCCCTCCAGACTCCCCCCTCCGACTCCGGCAGCTCGCTGACCAGGCCCCCATCTTTCACTGACCTCCAGGACTTTGCCCAGGCTGTGCCCTCTGCTTGGACCCCTCCTCCTCTCCCTGCTGCTCCTCTTCCTCCCCCAGGAAGCCCACCTTCAATCCCTCTCCAGGTGCAGGTCCCCACCACCACACCACCGGTTCCCACAGCCCCTGGGCTTTCTTCCCCCATCCCAACACTGGCTTCTCTGTGTGGGGATTGTCTGTGTCCCTGTTTATCTCCCCACCTGACCAGCAGCTCCAGGGGATGGGCTCCGTGTCCATCCTGTCCCCTGCTGTGCCTCAGGGTCAGGCACACCACGGAGGTGTTGGGCCTATGGTCAATATTCAATAAATTTTGGCCAATTGTCAATTGGTCAGTCCACTGTGGCTCTGTGACCCTGGTGAACCAGGTCCCCTGGCTGAACCCTCCTCCCCCCATCTGTAAATGGGCATTATAAGGCTTAGCTCTTAGGTCCTACACCTGTTAACACTTGCGAACTAGCTTTTGTTTTTTGTGTTTTTTTAAGATTTTATTTATTTATTTATTTATTTGAGAGAGAGAAAGCACAAGCCGGAGGGAGAGGCAGAGGGAGAGGGAGAAGCAGGCTCCCCACCGAGCAGGGAGCCCGATGCGGGGCTCGATCCCAGGACCCCGGAATCATGACCTGAGCCGAAGGCAGACGCTTAACTGACTGAGGCACCCAGGTGCCCCACGGACTAGCTTTTGGATGAATGAATGAACTCAGAGCCGGAGGGGCCATGGGAGTCCAGGGCTGGGAACTCAATCACCCTGACATTGCAGGATAAGAGTCAGAAATGGCCAAGTGGGCCGGGTGGGGACTGTGGTCGCCACTACTCAGCTCCAATCACTAGCTGCCAGACCTCGTGATTTCTCAAGAGCAACCTTACAAATACAGCTTTACGAGAAGTTTCCCAACTTTTAAGTGGTGGCAACTAACGTAAAATATTTAAGCACATCTGTGAGCAGGATGTAACTGCAGGCTGTGGGTTTGAGACTCTCAATAATCCAACCACTGTGGCACAGATGTGGAGATTGAGGCCCAGGGAGGGGGAGCCATCCGCCCCAGGGCTCGGAGTACAGGAACTGGAGGGAAAATAGCCATCTTTCTCCCCAGGCCTCAGCCCAGCTGCCCGAGCTCAGGGCACAGGCCGGCCTGCTTGGCCACAATCCCAAGGAAGGCAGCGCAGCCTTCTGCACCGAGGCTTGGCAGTTCCGGGACGAGAGGGAGGTTATAATATCTCTGCCCACCCCACCTAGACCAGACTGTATCAGGCACTGAGATCCAGAGAATAATGCTAAGCAACAAGCTGGCCTAAGAAGCAAGGGGGGGGGGGGGGCGGGCACATTCCTTCCTCACTTCAGCACCCTGCACAGAGCTGGGAAAGGGATGGATCTTGGTTCAATTCCTGCTTGGAGAAGCATGCTCTGCTTCTGAGACTGGGACCCCCGGCCCAGCACCACCTTTACAGATCTTGTGGAGGGGCTCCTGTATGCCAGGCCCCTCTCACCCGAGCTCATTTGACCCCCACAACCTTCCTGACCTCCCTCTCTCCATCTCCCCCACCTCTGCCCCAGTCACAGTGGCTGTCCAGATACGCCCCCACCTCAGGGCCTTTGCACTTGCTGTTCTGTTCGCCTGGTACACTTTCCACCATTATCCATGTGGCACATGTCTTCACCTCCTTCAGGCCTCTGTTAAATGCGACCTTCTCAGTGAGGCCTTTCCAGCCTGTTCACCCTGCTTAAAATCATAAACCAAGCCAATATCCCCATCCCCCATCTGGCTTTATTTTCCCCATAGCACTTCTCACCACCTCACCTATTATATGTTACACTTGTTTATTTGTATATTAGTTTCTTGTTGTGCTGTAACAAATCCCCACAACTTGGTAGCTTTTACAGCAATGCAACCTTACCTCATAGTTGTGGAGATCAGAAGCTCAAGCTGGGTCTCATTAGGTGAAACTCCAGGGGCAGGGCTGAGTTTCTTCTGGAGATTCAAAGACAGAATCTGTTTCTTTTCCTTGTCAGCTGCTACAGGCCACCTGCCTTTCTTGGCTCCATCCTCCATCCTCAAGACCAGCAGTGGTGAGTCTGGTCTCTCTTGTGCTTCGTCCCTCTGGCTCTCACCCTCCCTGGCTGCCTCCCTCTTGCACTTAGAAGGACTCTTGTGATTCCACTGGGCCCACTGGATAGTCCAGGATCATCTTTCCAGCTCAAGGTCCGTTGATTAGCCTCCTTGATTCCCCCTTGCCATGTAACCTAGCGTATTCGAAGGTTCTAGGGATTAGGATGTGGATATTGTGGGGTGGGGGTTCCCATTATTCTGCCTATCACACCCACACCCACACACACAATCAGCTCCAGGAATGCACAGATTATTGTCCATCAGGTCTACTTCTAAGCCCAGTGCCTGGTGCTGAGTGGGTGCTCAATAAATATTTGGCTGGATGGGTGGATGGATTATACTGTGGTGGCCAAAAGAAAGGGAGGCACAAGGTGATTCGGACACCCCAAATCACCCCTATCTGACGCACATGGAGACCTTGACTCAGAAAGACCCAACATGCCAAAGGCTGGGGAGCTATGACTTAGCCCCTGGCCTCGCTACACCAGGCAGAGCGTGCCCACGCCATCAGGCCATGCCCATAGAGAGAGGGTGGACGTGGGTGGTTTCACTCCCTTATCACTTAGCTCTGCCCATTCCAGGAAGGAACTGGGCTTCTTGTCCTCTGACAGGCCATGGGCTGTGTGTGAGAGCCCCAGGGAGAAGGCCTGAGGTCTGGACAGCTCAGAGAGGGGAGAGTCCTGGCCTTGAGCCCACCCTCCAAGGGCCCCCACAACCCTCAAGCACTCTCCTGCCAAGGCCATTCCAGGCCACACATGTAGGCAGCTGCCAGGGCCCAACCTGCCCAAGTGGGGGCCATGGCAGCAGGTTGGGTGGGGTGGGGGCCGCAGGACCCAGCATTAGTCATGTAGCAGCTGGGGCGCTCTCCCTCCCAGCCCTGCGTGTCTTTCCAACTTCAGAGGAGACAGGCTCAGGCCCAGGTTTGCTCATGACTGAAAAATGTTCTGCCCCAAAGGACGTGAACAAATGGCCTGCTGAAAAGGCAGCAGAAATAAATGGCTTTCCAGCATGGTGAGAGATGCTCAGCCACATACGGCAACATGCAGACATTGTGGAAACAGAATGTTGAGGGAAAGAAGTAAGAAACAGAAGGAGAGGGGCTCCTGGGTGGCTCAGTTGGTTAAGCGACTGCCTTTGGCTCAGGTCATGATCCCAGGGTCCTGGGATCGAGTCTCACATCGGGCTCCCGGCTCGGCGGTGAGCCTGCTTCTCCCTCTGACCCTATCCCCTCTCATGCTGTTTCTCTCTCTCTCTCTCTCTCAAATAAATAAATAAATAGAATCTTTAAAAAAAAAAAAAAGAAAAGAAACAGAAGGAGAAACTGTAAATTAAAAACTCTCATGCATAAAATACTACTACTTGTGGGGCGCCTGGCTGGTTCAATCCGTTAAGGGTCCAACTCTTAGTTTCGGCTCGGGTCATGATCTCAGGGTCGTGAGATCAAGCCCCAAGTTGGGCTCTGTGCTCAGCGTGGAGTCTACTTGAGATTCTCTCTCTCCCTCTGCCCCTCCTCCTGCTTGTGCTCTCTCTCTCTCTCTCAAATAAATTTTTAAAAAAAATACTACTACTTGTTTTACAAAAACACATATACACCTAGGGACATACGTCATAGGCCTGGGCATCAAGGATGAAGAGAAAAATTAAATTACATTAAATTAAAAAACAGTGGCGCACAGACCAATGATGGCAGGTTTGAATCAACAACCAAAAGGTGCTCTGTTTCACTCTCAATTTAAAAACCGAAGTTTATGGGGCACCTGGGTGGCTCAGTCAGTTGAATGTCTACCTTCGGCTCAGGTCATGCATGATCCCAGGATCCTGGGATCGAGGCCCGTGTTGGGTTCCCTGCTCAGCAGGGAGTCTGCTTCTCCCTCTCCCACTCCCCCTGCTTGTGCTCTCTCTCTCCGCCAAATAACGAAATCTTTAAAAAATAAAAATAAAAACTGAAGTTTAGACAGAGATACCTGCTTTCACCTACAGAGTAACAAAAAAATCCAGAAGTTCATAAAACACAGTGCCGCCAAGCTTCTAGGGAAACAGGCGCCCTCACACATTGTTGGTGGGACAATAAATTGGTACAACCTCTCCAAAGTGCAATTTGATCTTATGGATCTAAAGGTAAAACGCACAAATCTGTCATAAGATCTGATTGCGGAGATTTTTCGCACAGATCTACTCACATGCATGCGTGATGGCATTAAGGAGAAAGACAGTGACTCTCCCATTGCGTGGAAACAGAAAAAAGCTGGAAATAACTTAATGGTCCCACAGCAAGGGAATGACTAAGTGGAACTCGGGCCAGCCCCACGGTGGAATACTACGCAGCTGTGAAAAGGGACGATGGCAGCACACACGTGCTAAATGAAGATCAGCAAGACGTGTCAAGTGAGAGCAAGCAAGATGTGAGACACTGAGTGTGCCCTGCTTCTGTTTGTGTAACTAAAGAGCATCTGTGGTCACGTGTATTGGCATTCACACACCTTCTCTGCGAGAGCCCACAAGACACCAGGCACAGGGTTGCTGTGGGAAAGGGGACCCGCAGAGCCGGGGGCCAGGGCGGAGGGAAGACTCCATCCTCACTGCATACCTTTTTGTGCCATCTGAATTTTTTTTACCACTTACATGTCTTGCCAAGGTTTTGAGCAGAATTTAAAAAAATAGAAAAGCGAACTCATTTCTCCCCCAAATTTCATGAAATGCAAATGACAGGAAACCAATGGTCTCTCACTCCTCCCCTGAGACCACTTCTATCAACAGCTTTCCAGGTTTCATAAGTGATCTGAAATGCTGGCATGCAGTGTCTGTGCTGTTTGAACTTGAAGGACAGGCTGCATGACCTAAAATTGAGCATATAACCTTTCTCTGGTTAAGTCAGAAGGAGCAGGAAGGTTGTTGTAGGGAAGGTGAGCGGAAACGGTGAGCCGGGACGGTGGCCTGGACAAAGAAGGGGCGGGTTTCGGGAGACAAGTGTCAGGGACAGGAAGGTGGAGGCAGAAGGGAAGGGGCGCCACAGTGTCCAAGTCCACTCTGGGTGTGTGTTTCTGTCCCGGTGAGGACGGGGCTGAGTGCAGGGGACCTGGACAGGCGCCCAGACAGGGGAGACTGGAGTCCGGATCAGAAACTCCGTGATGGGGGCTCTGGGGGCTCCAGAAAGGGGTACAAGAGTCTGGAACCCTCAAGGTCAGAGCAAGATTAATGGGTAACGTACTCACTTGCTCCAGACTGTCTGCCGTGAAGCCTGGAGGGAGACGGTGTTGACAGCAACATCACCAATAACCGTAATAATAACAGTGGCCCACACTTGGTAGTGCTAACTAGAAGCCAAGTGCTTTAACCCCCACAACCACTCCCTAGATAGGTGCTGCATCCCCATTTCACAGATGAGAACACGATGGCACAGAGAGGTAAAGCAACTTGCCTAAGGTCACACATTTAGGTGACGTGGACACCACTCAGGGCACACCGCCGAGTAAAAGGGAGGTCCCGTCACCCCAGAGTCCCAAATCCAAACTTCCTCACTCCCTCTCCCTCTCCTGACCACCGCAGCCCCAGCCTCGGCTGCCCTGCTTCTGCGCTCACCCCCCCACCCCACCCCCACACAGTCCCTTCTCAACCCAGCAACCAGAGAGATGGTTCTGAAGTTCACGGCGCATCGTCCCTTGGCCTGGTGTCTGGCAGGGCCAGGGATTCAGGTGAGGCAAGGTTCAGGGCACATAATGTCAGGAAACCCTCACTCTCGGGTGAGACCCTGAGCCCACCTGGCCCTGACGGCGACGGCCCCTATAGTTCTCACGCGAGGCTTCTCACAGGCCCTAGGTCTGCTGTGGCTCCCCATGGCCTTCTAGAAATGTCCAAAGTCCTGAGCAGGTCTTGGAATTCCTGATCCAAACCTGCTGGCCTTCCATCTCCACTCCCCTGACCCAACTCTCCACTGGCCCAGCCCGCTGTGCCCTGAATCTCCCATATTCTTCCCACCTCTGGGCCTTTGCTCAGGCTGTGCCCCCACCACTCCTCCTTTCCCCTGACAAAATACTGTTCAGTGACCAAGTGTTCCTCACTTGCTGCCTCCCCCTTGAAGGCCCACTGGCTTCCCCAGCCAGAATTTAATCTCTTCCTCCCCTTTGATTCCGAACCTCTCAGATACATGGATCCCCCATGGCCCCCATGGGGTCTGTTCCCTGGGGTCCTTCCAGAGCATGAGTCCCATATCCGTCTGCACTCTCTCGCTGCCTCCCTGGGCCCTGCACAGGGTCTCAGGCTTAGTCACCACAGCGGGGGCAGATCCACATTTGACTTTCTCTCCCAGCAGAAGGGGCTCCTGAGGCAAAGTCTTCGATTCAGGCAGGGGATGGAGGTCAGGACAAAATCGGGAGAGGTTTCTGTGTCCCTGCAGTGGGTGTCAGGCCATTTACGGCCCCCACCCCCCCCATCTCAGCCCTCTCCCCTCCATCACTTACACCCCCCCCCCGGTCCCCTCTCAGCCCTCTGCCCTCCATCACTTGGCCCTGGGCTCTTTCTGTACCCTTCTCACTGACAGAAGCATCAGGAAGGAAGGAGCGGGCTTCCAAGGTTGTGCTGGGAAAACCCGCACCTTCGGTTGCTGGCACCCCTCCCCCAGGCTCCCTGAGGAGCTGTGCTGTGCTGGGCGGGGGATGGGGTAGGGAGGAGGTGGGGGGTGGCTATCGTACCTCCACCTGCATTCACTGGGCACTCACCAGTGCGGAACATAGCCCAGTGTCCCACAGCTGGCCTGTGCTGTCTCTTGACCCAGGCATGAGGCCAGCAGCTCTCATAAACTAATGCAGGCTCTTCCCAGTCATCCAAAAAAGTGCCAGGAAAGAAGCTCATTGGCTGGGCTTGGGTCATTTTCCATGTGTCGCCAATTGCTATGGCTACAGGATACTGAGTTCTGATTGGCCAAGCCTGGGTCACCTGCCCATCCCTGGACCAAGGGCTGGGCACCACCCATCAACCTGGATTCCCCTTGCCTAGTTATAAATTAAAATTCAAAGCAAATGAAGGCAGGCCTGAGGCCATACAGTGTCAAGGGACACTTTTTCCAATCTAGAGCTCAACTTCTTACATAAGAGTTGGATTTTTTTTCCCCCCCAATTCCCCTTTCACTGAGACTGAGGCTCTTCAAGGTTCCCTATTCAGGATTCTTGGTTCTAATTCCTAAAGCTCAGTCTCCACTCCCAGCAGGGGCTATGAAAATAAAGCCCCCAAGTAATGATTAATTACAAAGGGAAATAGTAAATTACAGGAAAACTTTTGCTCAGCTTAGCCAAGAGATCAATGTGAACATCACCAATAAATGATAGTAATAATCGTCAATAATGGTTAATAATAATCAGTATCCTGTGCCTCCTGGTAAGTTGTACCCAGAAGGTTACCACATCCCTTCTGTGGCTCCTAACAAAAGTACGTGATCTGGAGGGACATTCTACAAACTGACCTGCACTCCTCAAAGAATATCAAGATCAAGAATGGAA